GTGTATTGCAACCTTCTACATAGTGAAGATGGTCAAACATTTCACGTGAGAAAGGAGAAAAACATAAATGAATTTTAAAAGTGCGTCAACTTTGTGGTTGAGTACAATCATGCATGTGGGTACGGCGTGTGTAGTTCCCACTTGTATGAATTTAGGAGGATCGTGTGTCGTCATTTGATTGTTGTGCTAATTCGAAATGGCATGAAAATGTTGTCCGACTTCTAAATAATGAGAAGGTGGAGAAGAGACCTAAAAAGACCGTACACACGTGTCAAAATCAATTATGACGGTTGGATAACAATGGTGGAACAAGCTAGATTTTACAAATTACATAAGACCTTTGAAAAACTCACCAACACCATTGTTGACGATGAGGAGAAGTAAAATGTTGTGATGCAATAGCTAGAGGCCCAAATAAATGCAAATACAGGGTCCATCTCTCATTCTTCTATTTATGGTGTGATGACTTAATTACCCGACTCTGACCCACGTGTAGAGGGTGGCATCATGCAACACATTCTTGATCCGAAAACTTCCAAGTGAAAGGGTGCACCCCGCAAAAACCGGCTTAAGGCAGTATGTTTATTTATACTTATATATGAATCAGTTGTATTTTGAATTGCACTAACACATGATTTGCATTTTATTAGTTAAGGGCTACAAAAAACGAGGCAAGCGAATGTTCCTGAAGTTGAACCTGTATTGGGATGTTCAAATGTTGATTTCTTAGATTTAGATTTGAATATGATATTGGGTGTGTTGTAATTGCATATATTTTGATCATGTTTTTTTTAAACTGATTGTCACTGACAACTTATGTTATGACACAAACAAGAGTATTCCACGACACACACAACTTGTTGTAATACACAAGCTTATATAACTACTTATATTTCAAAACACAAGTACTACTATTAGTGGACACATACACTAATTAAAACAACACACGCATTACCGCCTGTGAACACAAACAATAATTACAACAACAAAAAACAAGTATTATTGTCGGTGCACACATATAATACTAACAACACATCTATAAATGTCGATGCACACATACAATACTAACAACAACACACGTGTACATCATGTTACCACAAACACATTTCCTCAACAAAAACTTACAAGTGTTTATAAAAACACATGAAATGTTTACAAAACACAGATGCATGAATGTTTGGCATTACTGTGTACAACCTTGTACAAAATCCCACGCCCTATTGTACAACATTGTACAACAACCTAAAACCATAAACTGTCACAAAAGTTTGACTAGTAACGTAAATAAGACGGAGTCAAGCATCATTCTTCTGTACACGCCATAACCGGACAACAAACTGTCACCTCATGTTACACATGTTGTTATACTCACATGCCGCTGTCAAGGGAAACAACAATCCCAAGTGCTCCGCAAACGCCATCACCATCACCCTGCACTCCCCATTACTGAAAATCCATACAATAATAAGTTGTACACGGTGTGCACAGGCAATACGAAGTTGTACACAAACAGTAACACGGTTGAAAACATGTATACCCTCCTCATTGTTAGTGTACATCGGGAACTACCTCTACAGGCCATGGTTGGAAATCAATCTGAAATCGAAGCAACCTCGGGGCATTTCATAACTTTAAGTAAATACGGTAGTCTAACGCAAATATGATGTGTACTTGATTTAGATCTAGCGGTCTTGATAAAGTCATATACTCTAACCAATTTTGCCTCAAGGTCAATTTCCCTCAACACCCAATGTTTGCCATCCACATTCAATGGCATTAAAACCTAATACGTACATGCGTTTAAGAAGAAAATGTTGGTGCACACATACATGAACCAATGTTTCACTGACATTTCACGCAATTACCTTTTCAAAAGGCGATCAATCTACTAGAGGAAGTAATCTTTCTCCAAACCAGTGCTCAACAATTTTAATATCCTTAGCTTCTTCAGGATTTAATGCTATATTAAGACATTACATTAGTCAATTGAATGAAATGATGAAGTGGTATTAACACATAACACTAGTCAAACAAATTCATTAAGTAACATACCGCAAAGTAGGGACTAATGATTTCAATTTTGTTGTTTGACATGGTTTTCTTTATAAGTGATGTAATGGCGTCTATGTGCTGAAAGTAATAATTAAGGCCTTCATTCTACACTCAAAGCCTTCAACACACCGCTTGAGTTGTTGGATTTCTTCCTCCCAACTCCCACCATCACCATCCTACAATTGCAACATGATATGTTTGTGTGCACAGTCAATTCATAAAAATTTGCTTGTGGTCACTGATAATTACCTCCGTGAACACTAATTCTTAAATTCTGGAGGTGTGATAAAATTCATCCGTTTTCCAGTTAAGTATGTGTACGGGATTACTGCCAACACGTTCTGCAAACTCTTTCCCAAGCCGGGAGATTGACTCATAAGCCCAAACCTAAAAAAACATTCACAATTATTAGTTTTAAAACAAGTACATAGGTAACATGGTAATAAATGTTGTATATCCACTGTATTAATAATATACATGTAAAGGCTGTTACACATATGGGAAACCATAAACGCTCAAATTTGCATTTCAGTAGCCTGGATTTTTAGCCTTTTGTAAAAGAACTTCTGCGGATACTCAACCATAAGGGACTTCATGTGATTAACCGTCAAAGTGTAGGATTCCATAGCCCATGGGTAGGCTTTCAAACTGTCAAACTGATCAACCCATTTTATGGCATCCATATCAATCTTAAACGACTTATAAGTTTTTTTAAAATATTATTAAAATAAAACTTATTTATATAAGGGCTTTTGGCTTCAATATTACCAAATTAAAGTTGATTTCCAAAAGTGTGACCATTTTTTTAAAGGACAAAAAAGTGATTAAGAAGGTCACATCTTTGGAAAAACATGACGTCACTATACTATTTATGTCACTGCTAGATTTTTTGTCACTTTTATATGTCACTATCAGATATTTATGTCACTTTCAGTTTTCGTGTCACTTTCGAATGTCACTGTCACCATAAAACGTGTCACTGTGCCACCGGAGGACTTTCCGGTGACTTTTTCCGATCCAAATGTTATACAACCTCCACAATTTTCACTTCGAAAACAGTCACCACGCCACCGCCAACACAACAGCTGTCGCCCCGACCGCCTAAGGCCCCCAGCCCCAGCCCTCCACAGTGACGTCGCCACCGTTCACGATTTTACAGCGACACTGCTTGCCGGAATTTTCTCCGGCCCCCCACAACCTCATCAATCTCCCTCCCCAGCCCCCAACTCCCGTCCCAAGCCCATCCCCTGCGCAACTGCTGTTCAGCTTTCAAAAGCCCACCCGTAGCACCTGAGCTGTCAGGCCAACCACCATACCTCTCCGCCGCCCGTCAACACTGCCGCCGCCCGTCAACACCACCAGCGACCGGTCTAGCCGTCACCCAATATGCCCTGCGAGGCTGCGAAGCCACGCCGTCGGTCAACACCACCAACATTCAGTCTCAGCCCCCAATCGCCACTCCCAACCTTAGCCCCAATCTCCAGCCCACCACCATCCAACCAATAGCCAGCAGCCCTAGGCCCCCAGCCCCAGCCCTAATTTCATCGCCGCCGCCGCTAGCAATAACCTACACTGCTACACAGAAGCATGACCACAACTATGGAGCCAAGACATTGCACCTTTCACCTCAAATCGAAAGAAAAAACAATTAGAAGAGGTAGAATAGAATCAGGCGGTGACATAGAGGCAGATTCGGTGGAGTAGTACGAGGACGAGGGCGGCGGCGATGCGCCAACTCTGTTACCGGCCCGAGAGCAAGGGCCATAGTGATGGAAACGACGATGGTGAAGCGACGGGAACTGCGATGGTGAGAACACCGGGAACGAAAATGGTGACGGTCGGCCACGTCTGCATCTGCTCCATCGGTACGAATGTGAAGGATGGAACAAATCTCACCCTTTGTTCGGGCATGAAGCTTTGGCGCAGGTTAGTCGGGAATCAGGAGGTACACGGAGGGTCGGTTCATATTAATTCAGTTATTTTTTTTGTCAAAATGAATTATGGTCATATTTTTGTCTACAATAACTATAGGAGTAATATTTATGCCACTATTTCTGTATATAAATATGACTAATGGTTACTAAGGTGTAGTAAAATGGTCACTTAAATTTAAAATTTAAGCATTAGCTACTATAACTAAGTTACTAGTATATTTACTAAAATTGTAACTATTTCAAATTTTAAATTGAAGAGATATATTTGAATATATATCCCAAAAATTGTAGTATTTATATATATTAATTTTAAAACTGCACAGAATAGTATATACAAAGTATATACTTTTTCCGTTCCTTAAAAGTTGCAATATTGTGATTTTTGCACTATTTATACACCTTATTTTGACAACAATTTTATACTCATATATATAAAATTATTATATATAAAATGCTAATACACTTATTAGTATGAATTTCCAAAATATTAATTTTTTATAATGTTTACTAATACGTATTTAATAAATATAAGTATAATCAAAATTGTGGATTAATAAAAATGAAACTCAAACTGTTGCAATTATTAAAGACTAACATAATATTTAATTTTATTTAAATAAACTATAAATCAAATCTAAAAAAACTCACAAAACAGTCCTTTGATCTAGATCAGTCTGCAGGAGTGCGGGAGCTCAATTTTGATCTATCCTAGACAGAACTCATCTATCGATTTGAATGCTGTGAAATCGTGAATGATGATAAATTGAGGAGATAGCTCTGTTACATTTTCATGTGCGATCTCTCATATTCACTCAGCCAACACCGGAGCAGCAGATCTGTTCGCAAAGCTTGGCCCTTGTAGTCGTTCGATCGACAATCTCCGCCTTATTTCAGAACTCAGCAGCCGCCAATGGCCGGAGCGGCCTCGGCGCTATTCCTTTTGGACATCAAGGGCCGTGTACTTGTGTGGCGAGACTTTCGTGGCGATGTCTCCGCCTCTCAAGCCGAGCGTTTCTTCACCAAGCTTCTGGAGAAAGAGGTTCTCTACTCAAATTTTGTTGTTATTTTTGTAATTTATCCACTCTGTTTGTTTCGTTTTTTGCTTCACATTGTCTGTATTTTGATGCTAAATCGTTATGTTAACGTAAACAAATAGAAGAGTTAAGTTCAATATGGTTCGTAGGTCGAGTAAAGTTCGCTATGGCAATTGACCCTTTAAAAGAAACTCTATAGGCATATGATTGATTCTAAGGAGAAATTTGAGCAACTCTAGGGAGACATGCAAATTGGACATTATGGGCGATACAAGGATGTCACAATGATGTTCAATTTTCATCATCCTAAGAATGTGTGACAGGCAAGGATGCCTCTTAATGATTTTCCACTCTCATGTGTGAGACTTTTCAGAGAAATATAGTTTCCGACGTGCATTTGTACCAATCTTATTATCAGCTGGACTGCTGGACTTGGAAGCACGTAGCGAACAAAGAAAGTTGCTTTAAATGCAATAGTAAGTGGGTGTATGGAATTGATTCTGCTGCTTCTTTTTTAAAAGCAGAAGTAGAATTAGAATCAGTTTTCAGAAGCTGGTCTCCCCCAGCTTCTAAAAAACTGCTTCTAGGAGCAATTTGAAGCACTCAGAAGTATTTTGCACTTTCAGCCAATCACTCCAATATATGTTCTGCTCCCTGAAGGAGCACAAGCAGTTTTAAGAAGCAGATCCAAACACCCCCTAAATTAGTGCTCTGTATCTAAGCTGGTTGTTATGAATCGACTTCAGTCATTTGTTGTGCTGATGTCATATACCAAACTTGTTTACCGATCAGGAAAGGAACATTTAATTGTTCTACATCAAATCATTTCAAGTACTGTTTGTAAGATATACATCCTTAATATTGATCTGTCTTTAGCTGCTTTCCTCCTTCCGTTCTTTATTGTTTTTGAGCAATCTTCTGTCTTGCAATTTATCACTAGTTATTTGATTTGGTTTCAGGGAGATCCTCAAGATCCCGTTGCATATGATAGTGGTGTTACATATATGTTTATCCAGCACAACAATGTGTACCTCATGATTGCATCGAGGCAGAACTGCAATGCTGCTAGTCTTCTTCTCTTCCTACACCGTGTAGTCGAAGTAACTACTATTGGAGATATGATATCATCTTTAGTTTAATATGCTCAATATCCAATCTAACTTTCACATTGTCATTTACCAACTCACTAAAGGTCTTCAAGCATTATTTTGAAGAGTTAGAAGAAGAATCTCTGAGAGACAATTTTGTTGTAGTGGTATGAGGAGTTAATACATCTATCCAGTCTTCTCACATTCCCATCAAAATATTAGATTGTAATGGGTCACATGTGGTTAAGTTTCTTTTGTTCACACTTCACAGTATGAGTTACTTGATGAAATCATGGACTTTGGATATCCTCAATTTACTGAAGCCAAAATTCTTAGTGAATTTATCAAGACCGACGCTTATCGAATGGAAGTTACTCAAAGGCCCCCCATGGCGGTCACAAATGCTGTATCTTGGCGTAGTGAAGGAATAAGTTACAAGAAAAATGAAGTAAGTTTCTCTATTTTTAATTGTAAATGAGTTTTTAGCTTCAACTGGACATCTGGACCCAAATAAACGTTTTCTGTATGCAGGTATTTTTGGATGTTGTGGAAAGTGTAAACATTCTTGTCAATAGTAATGGACAAATAGTGCGGTCAGATGTTGTTGGTGCCTTAAAGATGAGGACATATTTGAGGTGTGTTTTTTCGGATGAATAATAGTTCTGTGTATGCTGGTAAGAGTCATCTGGAAATATGTTTCCATGTGTCCTTTATCTTTTGCTTGACCAGATAACACATGTCTGTTATATTCATACTTCGTTTTTATGTTCTTTTTAGTTTTTACCCCTTTTGACTCTTTGGTTTTGTTGAAAATGCACACAACACCCTAAACAGCACTCGTACACTCATATTAGAAGTAGGCACAGCCGCACAGGGCCTACAAACAGCATACACACAGCACACTATGTGTTTATGTATTACATATCGTGCACAGTGCATACACAGAGCACACAAGTTGAGTGTTGACACTTGACAATTGACATTATCACATATCCTCTTTTATTGTGTACGGAACTACGGATATGTGTCAAAAGAAAAAGTGCCATCTCAGGATAAGGTTTGATACAATGTATGGAATTGTGTATTGCGTAATTCAGGCAGTTGTGCTGGATGAGGCAAGGTGTAAACCTCATTGTGAATTAAGACTTAAGTTTCAACTTTTAAATTCTTATTACAAATTATTATAAAATAATACGACGTAGTAATTATCACTCTTGATATACTACCTCCTTCCCAAAATAAAAGTAGCCATGTTTGTTGAGGGTACAAATTTTTAAGTTTGGCAAAACGGTAAGGTACATTCGCACAAGTTTCGAGTACTGAAGTATCTTCTGTAGTAGTTCTCAGCCCAAATGTGTTGGGATCGGTGACATGAAAGCAGTGTGAGTTAATTGTCTAACAATAGTTAGGACTATAATTTCCTCTAAAAAGAACACAGTGAGTCAGTGACAAAGCTTTATGGTAGATGCTCCTCTCGCTCTATAATTGATATGCTCATCATCTTATGTTTTTTTGCAATTGCATGAAAGAAGATATCACTATTAGACAATGTATCGAGATAACCAACTGTATTGGTCAAGTCTCATACTCTCATCACAAGATTGATATTGTAAAATTAACATGCACATCATGGATATGACCAATTAGTAGTGATTGTGTCCAGAATATTAATAACTAATGTTCCTGCTCATGCAGTGGTATGCCCGAATGTAAACTTGGTCTGAATGATAGAGTTTTACTGGAGGCTCAAGGGAGATCTACTAAGGGAAAAGCCATTGATTTGGATGACATCAAATTCCATCAGTATGTATTTAAAATTATAGTTTAGTTGAATGTGCAGAGCTTTCCATAATTGATTCAACTATGCTAGTTGGTAATTTTAATTTTAATCTGAAAAGAACTTTAGTGGAGGAGAGGGTGAGAGTGAAGAGGATGAAATTCAACAGATATTTGTAGCTACTATTTTGATTTGGTTGACTATATTTACCCAACCTTTTCCCAATTGGGCAATTAGTCACCTGAACAAAAACCACCCAATTTACCACTTGAATGTCTCAAAATTGTTTAGATCTCACTTTAAGAGTTTTAGTAGGTTAGTTTTAGTTCCCAGTGGAGCATGCTGGTGTCACAACCAACTTATAATATATTAAGTTGATTGGCAAGTTTTTAGTGACATATCATGTATTTAACTCTTTGAGTATATTTAGTTAATTATATAATTTTCTTTATAAAACAATAAAACATGCACCTAATTCTTCAACAGTCACTGTCTCCTTCGGGGTAGGGATGATTTTGATTTCGAACTGGAACAAAAAATGGGGGAGCGAGAACCAAACCTATAAGATGATGTTCCTGTTAGTTTATAGGGTTTAAGGGAACTAATGGTTCCAGTTCCCTTTTTTCTTTTCTATTTATTTCAAGGGTTACAATTGGCCAACTACCTGCAAATAGCCATTATGGGCGGGGAGGTTGGGACTTACCTACAAAGGTATAGAGAAGTTTTGGAATTGGAATCATAGAGAACCAACCTGGAATTTGTCCCCACTGTACCCCATTCACGGAACCGGGAATTAGAAGCGTAGGTTTGTGCTAATAGTATTAGTCAGGCAACCCACATGCCAGATTAATACCTAATATTATCTGATTATTTAGTTTTTCCTTTAAAAATCAGACACCTTCTTCAGTTCAATTCTTTGGAGACTCGTTGTCTGGGATGGCCGGATGGGTAGAGATTGGAGCCCCTGAGACTGAAGATTGCAGCAGAGTTAGCTTCTGAAGAAGCTTGTAATGGCTGGCTGGCCAGAGGTTGTTGGATCTCAACAACCAAGGAGAAGCTGGTGGCGAGTGGCTGGCTGGCTGCGGTGTTTGAAGGTTGAGGGCGGTGTCTGGTTGTGGTTGGTCTGGGAATCACCAGAGAAGGGGAAAGCCACTAGAGATGATGCTAGAGAATGAAAATAATACCCCTATTGATTCTGATTACAAAGAGCTTACAATTCCATTTTTTTTATTCTTAACCAGAACTAGCTAGAGGTAATGTTAGTTAGTTAGCGTTTAGTGGTTATGCTTTAATTTAGGTGTCTACCAAAGAGGTTGTATCGTATTTGCAGACGAGGTGTTCCTTAAAGAGGAAGTGCATGATGAAATAAGTAAAGAAAAAGGAAAAAGGAAAAGTAAAGTAAAGAAAAGGAAAAAAGAAGAAATCAGGGGGTAGCTATGCCTTACAAATAAGCATTCAACTCAATGCTAACCTGGGAAAGTGAGTTTTTGCACAAACGTTTGAAGTTTAGGTAGTTAATTGCATGTGTTTTTTATTCGGAAACTGATTTCCATCGTTGGGGTATTAGGAGGACCTATCTGCTAGTTTTCCCTAAATTTTAATGTTACACTGGTAGAGCTTTTATCTTCACATTTCTTGTTGAAATGAATATTTTATTTGTTTTGACTTTATGTTGTGACATTAGTTATGGTTATCTCTCTACCCTTTGCATGTGATTTTTCATTCTCCTGATAATCTCTACTTCAAGCTCAGATGTGTTCGATTGGCTCGGTTTGAAAATGATCGAACAATATCCTTCATACCTCCAGATGGATCTTTTGATCTCATGACCTACAGACTGAGTACTCAGGTCTGCTATTTGTGGCCTTGTGTTTTTAATGCCTTATTGTATTCAATCTTATAGATATGTGTATGTCTACATATTGTAAATTATTATTACCTTCGCCCCACAACTTTCTTCCCACTTTCCTTTTTGGGATGCTCTGAAATGTTTATTTATCTCCTTTTAAGGAAAGAATTGTGTGGTTAGTATTGTTTCTGTCTTGTTAACACTTTACATCAATGGCAACTGTACAATTATGATTTTCTTAAATAGTATGAGAAAGTGGGGAGTTATGTTTGGGACGAAGGGAGTAAGTAATGGAAGTGTTAAAGGCCTTTGTTGTTCTTCTGCCATCAGGTCAAGCCTTTGATATGGGTAGAAGCTCAAGTGGAAAAGCACTCTAGGAGCCGCATAGAATTTATGGTGAAAGCGCGGAGCCAATTTAAAGAGCGCAGGTATATGCTCATGAGTTTACTACTAGTATAGGATGCACATAGCCACATATTTAATAGAAGTGCTTGACAACACCATATTCTTTGCATCTAGATGTGCTTATTTGTAGTAACTAGTAAATAAATACCTGGTTCAGTAACAAGATATTTCGGGCTATTTTCAGCACTGCAACAAATGTTGAAATTGAGCTACCTGTACCAATTGATGCTACTAATCCTAATGTCCGCACCTCCATGGGGTCATCTACTTATGCTCCTGAAAGGGATGCATTGATTTGGAAAATAAAATCTTTTCCAGGTGGTAAGGTAAGAATACCCATTGATTAGCTGCTTCTATTTCAATTTTCATGTCTATTGCTTAGTTCGTTAAAAGATCCTTTGTTTTGTTCCTAGGAATATATGCTGAGAGCAGAGTTTCGCCTTCCTAGTATTACCTCTGAGGAAGCAGCCCCAGAAAGAAAAGCTCCTATCAGAGTGAAGTTTGAAATACCATATTTTACTGTTTCAGGAATACAGGCAAGCCCTTCATTTATAGTTAGGTTTATAAAATTTATAGGGAAAATGTTTTTCTAATTAAAGGGGACTGTTTTTATAGTATAATGCATGTCTATCAAGCACAAGTTGCGTGTACAGGTTTGGGAACTGGTATTCTCTAAACACACTGACACACTAATACATATGAATTATGAAGTACTACGTATTAGACACACACACACATCCATTGGACCACCAATGAGGATGTTTGCAAATTCATACTCTCCCATTTGTTGGTTTGTCCCAAAATCATGTTCAGTTTGCTGTTTTGAACTCAATTAGCTCCACTTTATCCTCCTTTGCTTTGACTTTTCCACGATTTTCACATCTTTTTTATAAAAGTCAATCACCTCTTGCAGGGTACAACCGGAATGTTAACCAAATACCATTTGTTTCCTTGATGTGTGTAAAAAGCAAATGGGACATATATTTTGGGATGGAAGGAGTACTTATTATGCAACCATTGTGTGTGTAGAGTCTCACCCTCAGATAATCCAATGGCTTAGCTGATTTGATCTTGCAACCATTGTGTGTGTATGCAGAGGAGAGTCTCACTCGTTGTCTTAGGATGTTTTTACTTGGACTCTAATTCGTCCCAGACCAGTTCAGACCAGACTAGACTTGGATAGTTATAAAAATACAAAGAAACCAGACCAGACCAGCAAATTACAGTCCAAGTAAAAACATCCTTACTAGAATTAAGAGATTGGGAAGTGAGAACTAGTTAGACACTTTGGCGTATTGATTTATTTCTTAAACACTTCATTCCATACTTTGGAGTTGTTGCGGTGAAAAATAACCCAACATTATTGGACATATGAGAAATAAGACGGGTTTTTACTAGTGTTTTTTAAACATTTAGTCCATTCTAGAAAAGAATAGAATCCTTGCTTGAAGTGTTCTGTTGTGTCCCCATTTGGGAAGGGGCACATTTTAGGGATCTCCAACACACTACTTCACTTTCATAGAAGTATCCGTGCTGTAAATATGTAGTCTCTTGGTTTATATCCTCTAGTGGTCAGGAGCACAGAGATCTATTCCATGATTTATTTAATGCTCGCAGTTTGCATGCAGTCCATTATAAACATGATATATTTATGGCCTTTCCCCCAAGAACTTATGTACTTTTGGGATCCTGCAGGTTCGGTACTTAAAGATCATTGAAAAGAGTGGCTACCAGGCTCTTCCTTGGGTGAGGTATATCACTATGGCTGGTGAATACGAGCTAAGACTTGTGTAAAAGTTGTTTTTTGTTTCTTTTGTTTTGTTTTGTTTTAATTACGCTACCCGCCTACTACTAAAGAATTCCCATAGACAATTTCAATGGCTGTGTAATGGTGTTTAATGATGTCATTCACATTTTTTTAAATGGCCAGGGTCATATTTGCTTGACTATTTGTTGTAGCTAAGTAGCTTAGCTTTATTTGATTAGAAAATTCAGAATGATATGTATTGAATTGGAAGGAAGTTGAATGATGTGGTTTCATATATTGTTATTATTATCTTGATATGTTTTACTACGTAATACAAAGCATAGACTATTCTCTTAAAAGTCGGTGTGCAAATAAACTCCATGAAAGAATATTTCATGTTTTTTCAACAACATTTGCAATCTATATAGTTCAGAATACGCTTGTACATTACTACATTACTGCACAGTTCAGCGCTTATCAATGAGACAGTTTCTTCTCAAATTCTCATGGCATTTCACGTGTACAAGAGTAACAAGATGGAAGTATGGAATTACAAATATTGTATAAGGTCGGAGTTTCATCTAGCCATCTAGATGGCTCTTTGTGCACACCCAATACTGTTTATAGATCATATTGTAATTTACTAATCTTACCATCATGTCGGGTTGGAGTAGTGGTGGATCTGATCCCAGTTCAGTCTCGGCCGGTTGCGGCCAGTCCTAGGGGAAGCCTGGATTCGACTTGATTAAATCTAGGTCTAGGCCAATTTCGGGTACTCGGGTGGTTCAGTCTTGGTTCAGGTCCCAGTTCGGACCTAGTTTCGGACCCGATTTTGACCCGGTTTCAGTCCCGGTCTCGACCTGGTCTAATTATATTTTAATTTCCATTTTCAAGGCAAACAAATTGATCGGGCCAGGACTGGAACCGAGCCAGAAAAGCTCGGTCCGGTCCCCACAATTCAAACCTGGGCCCAGGCCTGTTGGTTACCTGCCTACCCAGTCTTTAATCGGGACTAGAAACACGGACCCTGTCCGGTCCCAAATAGTGCTGAACCCAGTTCTAGGCCGAGTTCGGATATGATCCATCGCTAGGTTAGAGTGTGGGGATACCATCTCGGAGCTGGGTTGGGTGATTTCACTTTGAGGATTGAGAAATACGAAGTATTGTATAAGGTGGTTTGCTTTAGAAGATTTTTTTTTTACCATGGGAGCGTGGGGATAAAAGCTACATGAATGACTGTGTTTGGAGTTTCGTAATTGTCGTGTTAAAGTCTTTAGCTCTAATAAGTGGGGCGGCCATCATCGGATTTACGGTGAAATTGTAAAAATGAGGGAAAAGAGTCAAATAAGTCTTTCTATTATTTCAAATCTGTCACTTAAGACCATGTACTAAAAAAGTAGTATATAAGTACATGTACTTACTTTTAACTATTAAGATCTGGAGCGATGTAGCGAATAAACCCTAGCGACGTACGAGGGCTGAAGTCGATTTTAGATCGTTCGATCGTGTGTGGTGAAGTTCCCCTCTTCGCCAACAGGTTCTCCTTCTATGATTGATTCCGTTCTCTCTTGTTCTAGTTGTTTGGCTTTCGGGTCGTGAGGTACCCGACGTTTTATTCTGGCGCTCCTTTGTCGAAGATCTATATTTGTTCTATTTTGAAGGGTATTTTTGCTTGGTTGCTGAGTTCGTCAATCCCACGAAATTTTGACAAGATTTGTGAGCTATTGTTTTGGTTCGTTGCTGTTTGTTGTTGTGGAAGAACTCTGTCTTCTTGGTCCGCTGTTGTTGTTTTTGTTTTTATGCATCTTGCTGTGTGGTTTGATTACTATTTTGGATATACTTGTTGAGACCTATAGTAAAGTTACCATTACTCAGGAGGAAAATAGGTGCTTGGTTCTGGAAGCAGACCCGGTAGGGGTGATAGTGAGGGTGATGTGGGTGTTTGTTTCTTGGCAATGACAAGAGTGGTAACGAATAAACCTGTTCGCCCAATCACTCTTCGTGAAACCATGGCCATGGCCTGACGACCAATTCAGGGAGAGACCATTGAAGAGATTGTTATATGCTTCCAAGTTTCTTCTCCAATTTTATCATGAGGGTGATATTAGTCGAGTTGTTGAGGAGGGACCTTGGTCTTTTGAACAAAAATTAGTTGTGATAAAAGATTAGGGCATACTGATAGGCCCTCTTACAGTGTCATTGGATCGTGCAAACATTTGGGTGCAGGTTCACAATTTGCCTTTAGGGTACATGACGACTAAAGCAGCTCATGGAACACAACATAGAGAGCTTTGTCCGAGTAGATTAGGCATGACAATGGGTCGGGGCGGGGCAGGTACTGCAAGAACCGGACACACCCTGTGACTTCACTGGGTGGACCCGCCCCACCCCGTGACTCGCACAAGTCCAAACTTGTTGACCCATGAGCCGCCCTGTCGTAACCTAATTTGCTAGTATGTATTTTTATATGTGGGGAGTTGCTACCAATTGAATCTACATAAAGTTTTTTTCTAAATAATTATTAAAAAATAATATATTAAATTAAATTCACGATGCGCTAAAACTTTCAAGAATTAAGAAAAAAATAATTAGACTTGAATAGTTAATCTACATAATAATATTAGTAATTGAATATATATATTAAAATGCTATATATAAAGTAGACATTGATAATTCGTCGTTCATCTCATTGAAATATAAATATTAATATATTATAAGTGATGGAGTATATGGCCCGGGAACCCCCGACCCACAGACTCCTACTACTCCAATAAAGGCCCAACAGGCCCAGAAAGCACAACAGGCCCAAATCACAGCGCCCAGAGTACCAAGCAGCCCACAATATGCACCAGGGGTGCCTTCGCCCCATGGCCGAAGGCTCTAATTCTCACAGGAGGGCCAAGACAGGAAAACAAGGTTACTGGGAAAAACGGCGAAAATCAGTAGCCCTCGGCAACTGGAGCCCTTGGCACTAAGGGGGTCCCCGGTACTCAGAGCTCTCGGCTAGTCATCTACAACCGAGGGCACCTTTTCCGACATAATATCCGCTCCACATGCGTATGGATCACCGTACCCTGTACAACGTCCCATCCAACAGCCGCATTAAATGCGGCCACATGCGGTTGCCAGCGCCAACCAGTTGAGGTGACCTCTCGGCCAATAGACGCTTGACACGTGTCCCTGTCCGGCATTTATTGCTACTATAAATAGCATCCCATTTCCCCATTTGTAACCACGCTGAAAACACTGAGCACTTTCTAATATACTTTCTCTCTCTATACTTACTTGCTCTGACTTCTCTCTAGTTATTCCCCGTAATAACCCCTCGGATAAGCTACCCCCCGGGTACACTATCCATCATTCGGTGCTCTCGTTGAGAGGTCGAACAATCAAGTAAGAAACCCTCCCCCTCGACCAAACACAAAACACCCAGCTAAAATGGTGAGAACAACTCGTGCCAACTCCAAGAATGTAGAGGACAGGAATCTGGCCCTCGGCGAGGTCGACGTCCCCGAAGCCTCTAACAGGGCTCCCGGGGGCGGCGTCATCGCCGGGTTGGACCAGACGGTTGTCGACCTACGCCAGCAGATTCAACAAAATGCCCCCGATGCCCGCCTCGGCATCGAGGCCAAAAAGAAGGACCAGAGCGAGAATCAAATTAGCCCTCCGGTCATCACAATCGACGTACAATCGGCGCTCTTCGCCTTCATCCAGACGCTCACTCAGAACCCGGGTGCCTTCGGCACTTTGGTTCCCCTCCAACCTCAGGTGGGGGAGGATATTATGCCTCCCCCTCATCCACGACCCCTCGGTAACCCCGTCCTCCGGATGGGAAACTCCGAGGGGGTCGTGGCCCAAGATACGGCCTCCCAGGAAGTCCAGTCCCGGGACCGCCACAACGTGAACAAGGAGCAACTCCGGACCTCCGCCCTCGAGAGACTCGGAGGGGCGCAAGACCGCCGAGGGGTCCAAGACCGCCTCGGGGGGAAGGCGTTCCAAAGGCCTCAGGAAAGTGGCGGGTCCGTCTCCAGGGCCAATGAAAGGCGTCCCCCTCAGGACAAGGGCAAGGCACCTCTCCATGCCGACGATGCACGCCACCAAATCAACCAGGCCCACTCGGCCCGGGTCCATTCGCAGGGGGCGGAGGCCCTCCCGAAGGACCCCCGGGACGAAATCATTGCGGCCCTCCAGCGCCGGCTTGACGAGATGGAGGCCACCAAAGCCCAAGCCACCACCTCTGCCCCTCATACAGACCTTAAGTATGAGGCGATGATGGCCAAGATGGAAGAAATGTAGAGGAAGATAGCCGAGGGCTCCGGGGAACCCACCATACAGCTCCGGACCCAGACACCATTTACCCCAAGGGTATTGGCGCCCCGGATCCCGGAAAAATACCGAGGGCAGCTCATCAAGCCCTATGACGGAAAGACTGACCCCCAGAAGCACTACAGCAGGTATCAAAACAGCATGATGATGGTGGGGGCATCGGATGAATTTTTGTGCCACTGGTTCCTCTCCACCCTAGAGGGGCCAACTTACGAATGGTTCAATCGATTGCCCGAGGGCTGCATTGACTCATGGCAAGAACTCGCCCAACGGTTCTTGACGCAATTCGCGGGGAGGCGCCGCATAAGAAAACACTTCTCCCACTTGCTAACAGTGAGGCAGAAGAAGGAGGAGACCCTTCGGGACTTCCTGGAGCGCTGGAGGACGGAGGCTGATAAAGTTGATGGCGCTGACGACGGGACCCTTCTGGCCCTCCTACAAATAGTACTCCGCCCCGGAAAGTTCTCAAGGAGCCTCATCATCGAACCCCCCCACGATTATATAAGGGCCCTACAATGGGGGGACCGGTACGCCAAGGCCGAGGAGGTGGAGAAATGCCACCATGTCCCAGATCAGCAACGCCCTCGGCCAGACGACAAAGGTAACCGGGGGCTGGGGGCTCCCCGCAATCATCCCAAGGATTCTGCCCCCTCTGGTGATCGCCCCCGGCATGGCCAAGCCAAGCCCGAGGGAAGCTACAAGGGGAACCCGAGGGCTTGGGCACAGCCTGTCCACCTGGAGCACCCTCGGACACCATTGACGCACCCCGTCAGCATTATTCTTGATTTTGCTGAGGAGAGGGGCCTGGTGGAGCGAGATTCACGTGCACCCCCGGAAGTATTCGCCATCAATCCGAACTACCCCTACTGTCGTTTCCACCGGCACCAGGGGCACATGACCGATGACTGCCATCAGCTGAAGACGGCCATCGAAAGATTGATACAAACGGGCCATCTGCCTCAGTTTATCCAGGGCCCTCAGCAACA